AATGGGGTTGAAAAAACGAAACCGAAGGCTCCTACTGCTCCACTTCCTGGCTGCAGTAAGGATTTTCCGCCATTACCCAACAAAGATAAGAAAAACAAAAAAGCTGCTCCTCAAACTTCTCAAAAGAAATCCAAGTCCAAACGAGGTTTGCTAGCTTTTTCGGACATTGTGGAATTCATATTAAATATGTTCAACATACAAGACCCTCTTAGAAGCTTAGTTTCTGCCTTGCTTCCAACACTAGAATCATATCTTAAGCAATTGACTGTTCCATGGCCCCTCCTTGCATCAATCATATCTTTCGATGGATAATTCGTCGAACGAGGTTGAAGATATGATCACGGTGCTACAGTGGAACTGCCGTAGTCTAGTGCCTAAGCTAGACTCGTTCAAATTTTTACTTCACAATTCTGATTGTGATATATTTGCTCTCTGTGAAACATGGCTTTCTTCCGATACAGAACTCAACTTCCACGATTTTAACATTATACGCCTGGTTAGAGACGATTCTTATGGAGAAGTACTTTTAGGGATCAAAAAGTGCTACCCTTTCTACAAAACTTCCCTTCCTGCTCTATCAGGCGTCGAAATCGTCGCTTGTCAAATAAATGTGAAGAACACAGACCTTTGCATAGCTTCAGTTTATGTTCCACCAAGAACCTCCATTAGCCGTAGTCAACTCTGGAATCTTGTTTCGATTCTTCCATCTCCAGTATTAATTCTGGGTGATATGAACTCCCATGGTACTGGATGGGGCGATCTAAATGACGACAATAGAGCGGCTATTTTTTTACGATTTATGCGACGATTCCAACTTGTCTATTTTGAACACTGGTGAAGCGACACGTATATCAAAACCTCCGGCTCGGGAAAGCCGACTCGACCTATCTTTGTGTTCAAGATCGCTATCATTGGATTGTCTGTGGAAGGTTATCAATGATCCCCATGGTAGCGATCATTTGCCAATTATCATTTCAATTAAGTGTGCCCCTCACTCTGCAGAACCATCCCGAGTTCCATTTGATCTTACAAGGAACATAGATTGGCAGAAATATGCAACGGCGGTGACAATCGGTGCAGAATCAATAGATACGCTTCCACCATTGGAAGAATATCGATTCCTCTCCGATTTGATACACAAAAGCTCACTGGAAGCACAAAAAAGAAAAGTTCCAAGTGCGCCATTCAAAAGGAGATCAGCCACACCTGGATGGGACGAAGAATGCACAAAATTGTATGTAGAAAAATCTGATGCTTTCAAAGCTTTTCGTAGACACAAAACTTCCACATATTTCGAGGAATATTCAAAGCTTGAGACAAAGCTGAAACAATTAGTCAAAGAAAAGAAACGCGGTTATTGGCGCAATTTCATCGAGGGACTCTCACGAGAAACCTCAATGAACACCTTCTGGAGGGTGGCTCGCAACATGCGTAACCGCTCACCTTCTAATGAGAGTGAAGAATACTCTAACCGATGGATATTCGATTTCGCAAAAAGGTCTGTCCGGACTCAGTTCCAGCACAACACATTCTTCGAGAAGCGTCTCCGAGCGGCAGCTCACTGGATAGACCATTCACAATGCTGGAATTCTCTATGGCTCTTCTTTCATCGAACAGCTCCTCACCGGGAAGCGATATGATTAAATTCAATCTTCTGAAAAATCTCCCAGATATCGCTAAAAGACGCTTGCTAGACTTATTCAATTCCTTACTAGAAAACAACATTATACCGCTTGAATGGAGACAGGCCAAAGTAATAGCCAGGTCAAAGTAATAACGATTCAAAGTAATAGCCATTTGGCTTCAGTATTCTTGGACATTAAGGGGGCTTTTGATTCAGTTTCCATTGAAATTCTGTTAGGCAATCTGCAGAGATGTGGACTTTCCGGAATTTTAAATAATTTCTTGTACAATTTGTTGTCAGAAAGGCAAATTAACTTTTCCCTTGGACAACTGACAACCTCCAGAATTAGCTACATGGGCCTGCCCCAAGGCTCATGTCTCAGCCCTCTTCTTTATAACTTTTATGTCAAAGATACCGACAACTGTTTGGCAGAACAATGCACGCTAAGACAACTTGCAGATGACTTGCAAGGACCATTGCAAAGTTCCTTAGATAACTTGTCTTCTTGGGCTAGGAATCTAGGGATCGAATTCTCGCCGCAGAAAACTGAACTGGTAGTGTTTACTCGAAAGCGGTACCCAGCCCAAATGCAGCTTAATCTTTTGGGCAGAAACATTGCTCAATCATTGTCTTTCAAGTACCTTGGGGTCTGGTTTGATTCAAAGTGCACTTGGAATACCCATATAACGTATTTGAAGGAAACATGTCAGCAGAGGATCAACTTTCTCCGTTCAATTTGCGGCACATGGTGGGGTGCTCATCCGGGAGACCTCATAACGCTTTATAGAACAACAATTCTCTCTGTTCTAGAGTACGGCTCTTTCTGCTTTCTCTCGGCAAGAAAATGTCACCTAATAAAATTGGAACGAATTCAATACCGTTGTCTGCGTATTGCTCTTGGATGTATGCACTCAACGCATAACATGAGTCTCGAGGTTCTGGCAGGAGTAACACCCCTCCAGAACCGTTTCTGGGAGCTCTCTCTCAGAATACTAATCAAATGCGGAGTGACGAACACACTTATAATTGAAAATTTTGAAGAAATTCTTGGGCTGAACACACAATCTCGATTTATGAGAATCTACCACCACTATATATCGTCAGATATGTGTCTTTCTTGTTACACTCCAGACCGTGCTCACTTCACCAATCGCAGTTCCTAAATTGAATAAGATCTGACCATGAAACAAGCAACTCATGGGATTCCCGATCAACTTCGACCTATTATTATCCCGCGTATTTTTACTGAAAAGTACCAACACGTCAAATGCGTGAAAAGATATTTTACAGACGGGTCACGTCTCAATGGATCCACTGGCTTCGGTGTCTTCAATGAAAACTCTAGCGCCTTCCGCAAACTTATGTCGCTGAGCTAGTTAGCAGCAACTTCGCATTGGGGATGATTTTCGACCATTACTCCATCTTCTCGGATAGTCTCAGTTCGATTGAGGCTATTCGGTCGATGAAACAAGGTAGGCACTCATCTTATTTCCTTTCAAAGGTAAGGGAGCAGATGAGTGTACTGGTCGAAAGATCATAGATGATTACCTTTGTATGGGTCCCCTCACACTGCTCAATCCCAGGCAATGAGAAGGCTGACTCTCTCGCAAAGGTGGGCGCGCAGGAAGGCGCATTTTATGACAGGCAAATTTCACACGATGAATTTTACCATTTAGTGCGTCAGAGTACCCTTTCGAGTTGGCAAACCGATTGGGACAATGGAAATTTTGGACGGTGGTTACATTCAATTATTCCTAATGTTTCTTCGAGAGCGTGGTTTAAAGGCTTGAACTTAAGTCGTGACTTCATTCGCGTGATTAGTAGACTTATGTCCAACCACTACTCGCTAGATGCTCATCTCAATAGAATAAACCTCGTGGACAGCAACATCTGTCGGTGTGGAAACGGTTACGATGACATCGATCACGCAGTTTGGCAATGTACGGATAATTACGCCGCCAGAGAGCGACGTTTGAATACCCTTGAGGCCCAAGGAAGAAAACCCTATGTTCCTATCAGAGACGTGTTGGGAACTCGCGATATTTGCTATATGCTGTCGGTTTATGTGTTTCTTCAAATGTCTAGTATAAGAATTTAATTCCTTTGTCTTTTGTCTCTCTTTAATAGTTTTTGTTTGTCTTGTCCCCCCGTCTCGATGAGTCTCATCGTCGCCCACTGGTCACCATAGCCGGTCGAACTCCAGACGAAACTAGAATCGCACTACCATTCATACTGGCGACAACACTCTGATGAGACAACGAAACCTTACCCCCTAGCTCCTCCCCTGATCCTAACCTTCGACAATGTTGCGAGTATTCGGCCGAACTCCTACTAGACATAGAATTAAGTGAATTTTGTTACAAACAAAGAACAATGAATTATCGGCTCCGTAAAGCTAACGCGATTGAGCCTACCAAATAAACGAACTAGTTAAAAAAAAAGCTTGCAATATTTGAATAATCTTAGCTCAGCCATTTATTGACGAACTTCAAATCTGTTGGCTCCATTTAATACTGCATACCTTAAAGATTTATTCAGTATCAATAGATAAATTTCGTTCCGTTAGATAAATTTCTGAGCAATGATTTTACAAACATTCCAAATTTTCCATTACACATTTTACCGGAGGCATCGTGTTTGGAGTGTTAATCCAATGAAACCGTAAATCGCTTCAAATGAATCATCTCAAAAAGATGCAAGCGTCACAAGATTTCCGATTCCGGTCGTGAAACTGGATCATGAGACATTTAACCCCAAATCACCCGCATATCAACGATTCCCGCGCAATAAGTCCTACGGTTTTCCAGTTACACGCAAGGTTGTTTATCCTCTGTTGTGCTTCGTCCAATGCAGCGGAATTCCCAGACAATCGAAGAGAAGCCCAGAAGTGCGAAGAAGCACTTTTTTCACGAAATAATTTATCACGGGGCTATAAAACCGAAAGCAAGCATGTTTACATGTTTACACTTTACCAATGTTTGTAGTCGCCACTTTGCAAACGCATGTACAAATATTGAACCACCCGTGCGACCGGACGGACCGGAATGTTTATTTGACCAACATTTGAATGCAATCGCTTGAGCTGGGCGGCGGTGCAATAAAAGCTGTCGAGATTGCATCCCGAGCGCGCGCGAAGCAGACACCCAATTATTCGATGCACCCGCACACCCAAGATGCCGTGGCGGCAGCCGTCAGGGAGGAGTGGTTTGTTTCCACCTTAAGATTTCCAGTCAATGTATACAAAAGTAAATTAATTGACTCTCGTTTGTTGATGTTTCACGATCAATTGATGCGTAATTACTGATGAAGTTTATTTGTTCTCTAGATGAAAACAACAATGGCACTGATTTGTTCGTTTTGCCCTTTCTCCAATTAGGTAAAGCGGTGCCATTTGTGGAGCTGACGGTGGCCCACGCAAGTGTCCTGACGATCCTGGCGATATCCTTCGAGCGGTACTATGCCATCTGTGAGCCGCTGAAGGCCGGTTACGTCTGCACCAAGGCACGAGCCCTGATTATCTGCTTGGCCGCGTGGACCGTGGCCGCCATACTGACGAGGTAAATACGAACCAACCGGTATACCGTGAGTAACTGTAATAAGTTTCTGTAGTTCCTAACCTTACTACTGTTAACCTTGTATAGTATGTTTACTGCTTCCATCCTCTTCGATTAGATGTCGCTTGCTTGTGTCTGTGTTGTATGAGTGTTATTACTTTATCCACTTCATCTTAAATCTAGGCAAGAACCCATCCCGACGACAGAGTGCTGAAGGCGCACATCATTCAAAAACATCATCGCTTATATTTATGCGGAAACTTTTCTTTTATAGCCACTTGCCAATCGAGTTGATTGATTTAAATTTATTGGTTCCTCTCATCACACGAACTTATCTCCGTGCTTTTTTTTTCTTCTCTAGACAGAAACAATAGAAAGTGAAATGGACGGTATCTTTTCCGAAACAGAAGCAGCGAAATATGATTGATTGCTTTGCTGGTGGTTAATCCTCCACTAGTTCGGTTTATTTGACACAGTATCCCCTTTTTCCGTCCGGTTTACTTCTGGGATGTGCAATTTTTCTCTCAATCGACGAAGCTTTCCGTTTCAATCAAATAATGATCAACGACGACGTCCAGAGAAGCGCGGCCTGCCACAGCGAACGATGTGATGGGTGATGATGGGTGGTGATGGGAATGTTCACTCCTTTCGTTCGTCCAATTTTAAACGCTTCAATAGATTTGAATGATGCGAGGAAACCGAAATAAGAAAATGAAAAATAGATTTTTGCGAGGCAACCCTTCTAATGCTTTGATGGATTGGCATTAAGCGATTAGAAAAGGATCACTTTTGGTTTGCGGGATTTTCAAGATTAGGCTCGTGTGTTGAGCATTGCGGAAAATGTAAGCACTCATTTCTAATCGGTGGGGAAGAATTGGGTATCACTATTACGAAACCGGTTTTTAGATTTAGATCTTTTTGGATACAACTGGCATTTTTAATGTCCATTTTCTATGTGTTGTTATATGTTAGTTTTTGATGCAATTTTGATGTTTTTACACCGTGGCTGTTAATTTTTGATGATTTTGCTTAAATAGTCATTTTGTTAATTTAGGGCGATGTTGGTGGGTATCAAGTTTTATTTATTGATTCAGGTTTAATTAAGTAATTTTTACGGTGATTTTATAGTTTTCACGTTTTATGTGCGCTCAGTTTGTAAAGGTGCAGCTACAAAGCAAGACCATGCTGGAGGTGACTGGGTTCGATTCCCGGTCCGGTCTAGGAATTTTTCTCAACTTCCCTGATCATAGAGTATGATTACACAATTATACTAATGCACCAATAACGTTTGCATTAAAAAAAATGGACTTTTTTTTCGGATGGTGATAAAAAAAAGCTAAGAGAGATAATTTCTTTTGATAAATTTCCCATGGAAGGTTAATATTTAAGCTTACTTGCAAAAAGTTCTACGCCCTTGCGAAAGGCCTTCCGGCATTTAACCGGAACATTCACCATGGCGGACGAAAACATGCGTGTAGGCATGTTTTTGAGTCCTTTTTTCGTTTTATTTATTTATTTACTTACTCAGTTTTTGCGACAAAATTGTTGGAATAGATCTTACGCTTCAGGTTGGCCCAGAAATTCTCGATGGTTTTTTGAGGTGAACCAGCCCAGGCTGAAAGCCTCCCTAATAAAGATAAATCAATCAATCAATCAAATTCTCGATGGGATGCAGCTGGGGGACGTTGGGCGGGTTCGCCGACTTAGGTACCACATCAATATTCAGCCGCTCCATCTCCTCCAACGATCGCTTCGAGTAGTGGGCCGACGCCAGATCCGGCCAGGTATTTCTTGATGAACGACGCAACTTCCGGCAGGTATTTCGTACTATAAATTTTCCCGTTCACGGCCAGTCCGGAGCGAAAGAAGAGCAGCTTTGACATCCTCTTCTCGTTGATTGTCAGCCACAGCAGCACCTTCTTGGGGAACTTGGTGTGTGAAATGAACTTCACCTCGGAGCTCACTTCCTTCGTGGGGAAGTAAAATACGAAGTGCCCTGCCAGTCGTTGCCATCCAGGGTGAGATAGGTCTCGTCATCCATCACCACCGCCACGTCGCGATTCGCCAGGAAAAACGAGTTGACCATCTTTTTCAGCAGCTGCCGCTGCGCCGTTGCCTGCAGCTCCGAAACCAGTGGACGTGACTTCAGCTTCCTGACATGTATGTTCATGTTCGCCAGGTACTTTTTCACTTGGCCGGTTGCACCGACCTCCCGGCCAAGCGTACGCAGCGATGTAGCCACTTTTCCCTCGGTCTTCCTCTACAACATCCTTTGGAGCTTCTTGTCGCTCAGGGTCGTCGGCCGTGCGGAACCGGGCTTTCTTTCGATGCTCTGATTGTTGTCTAATAGTGCCAAGATGTTGTAGATGCCGAAACGGGCGTATCCGGCGTCCACGAAGTGCCGCACGATGTCCGTTTTCGACGCGGCGGGGTGCCGTTCTTTGAACGCGCACACTTCTGAACGGAGTTGCTTCACTGTTTTTTGCCATCACGGTTAGAGTTCGACTGATAGAGCTGTCAAATTTTGTCTGCTGACTCATGGGTTACTATGATTGATGCTGCATGGGTAGTTTCGTCAGTGCGGGTGAAGATAAACCCATGAAAAATCGACAATGTTTGTCCATTTTTTTAAATGCAAACGTTAGTACAGGCATCGAAAGCTCCCAATTAATAACTGTGGAAGTGCATCTAGAACTATAAGTTGAAAGCACGCCATAAGCTAATATGCGATAAGCAATAAGATTTAAATGTGAAGATGAAGAGGAAGTAGAATACATTTTAAGACAGTGTGACACCTTGGAATCTATTTTCGTGGTTTTCAGCTTAATTTAGGTATTAAAGCATTTGTTTCAGTCACGATGCGGCCCTACGTTGTGTTACTGTATTTCACCAGAACAAACACTTTTCGCTCTTTTATTTGATACAATTGATTGCCTCTGACGGGCACTTTGCCTAATCGGAGTATAGACGAAAAACTTATGGCAATCACAATACATAATCTTCTATATTCACAAACAGTGCGACAGGTTAGACAAATTTGAATTGTAGCTATTAGTTTAAGAAGGTTTTATTATGATAGTAACTATTTATTTTCAAGCATTAAACAAATTTTAAATTACCCAGAAATTTACGTGAGCATTATTAATCTTTATGGAAATGACTTGTCTTTTCATCGATTGTAATGATCGAATTATTCCTCTACTTCTTCTTCTTCGCTGTTATTTTCACGCCCGGTGTAAAACTTGCGGCCACGTTAAGGGTGTACCATATACCGCCATAGCATTTTGGGGGCTCTCCACCCTTACATTCACTCCTGGTCCAGGATCACCATCCTCCATGACGTCGAGCATTGCCAGCTTGACTACCGGCTCTTCTCGTACGCACCCAAGATTGCCGTACTCATCCATCTGCACCAACCGCTACCCTCTCCACTCGTCATCTTGTCCATTGATTCCTAACTGTTCCATCCACCACGAACACTAAATCTCCCTCCTGGACATACTTCACGTCCTCAAACCACATCGACCGCCGTGAAATCACCGGAAGGTATTTCTTCAAGCATCGCTTCCATAACTCAACAGGTAAATGTAGCACTAGCTTCCAACTGCTTCTCAGTGCCATCCGATAATCCGTAAGCTGAACTGGTAACTGCTTGACCCTGGAAGAACTCCCCAGAAGAAAGTAGTTTGGCGTTAATGATTCCTGGTCTGCCGACTCTAAGGGAGGTTAGAGGTCTACTGTTAATCATTTCTTCAGCCACAACGATCACCATTTCCAGCGTCTCATCATCTGGTTTTCGTGGTGCTTCTTTTATCGTCCCCATCGCCGCTTTAACCGAGTGCACCATTCGCTCCCATACTCCCCCCATATGGGGGGCCCTGGGTGGATTGAACGACCAGCGGGTGTTGGAATTGGTGAACTCTGACGCTAGTCTTTCCTCTCGGTCCTGAATCTCCTTCTTTAATGAAATTGGTCCCGTTATCACTATAGAATTCAGCTGGTGATCCTCTCCTTGACACAAAACGACGAACTGCTAGCACACAGGATTCGCTAGACATACTGTGTACTACTGCCATGTGGACCGCAAGGATACTGAGGCATGTTAAAAGTGCAACCCAGCGCTTTACGTTGCTGCGTCCAACCTTTACCAAAATAGGTCCGAAGTAGTCGAGGCCCACGAAAATGAAAGGCCATACAAAAGGTGTAACCCGATCATTCGGTAACAAGGCCATCGGTGGTGACCTCGCGACTAACGCCCGCATCTTCGGAATATGGTACTCCTGTCTCATCTCGTTTATCACTGTCTTCCTATTGGCGTGACGGAAACGCCGGTGGAACTTGTTTACCAGAAGGATGATCCACGACCTCTGTGGCAGCATCGTAGGGTGCTTTGCTGCATATGCTACGTATAGATCTGCATCGATCCTTCCTCGCATCCGCATCACTCTACATTGATCCAAGAACTGTCAAAGCTTGTAGATGTTACTTGTTCTCGATACCACTGAATGCTGCAACAGCAACGTCCTGTCGACTCCGTTGAGCTGAGCTACCTCTTCAGCATACCAGTTCTGCTGCGCTTGCTTATATAACGTAATTTTTGCCTTCGCTAATTCCTCCTGCTTCAGAACTCCCAACTCTAACTGCTTGCCTTGAAGTTTCCGCTTCAAATTATCGACGAACCGATGAACTAGTGGCACTGTTCGCTGAAGTTTTTTTCAGCGGCTGAACCTGGTTGTCTCGATCAATGACTGGATCTTCATGTGCACGTTCACTCTGCGAATTTATTCTTCAGTAGACTACGGCACAGTCCTTGCTGCGGCCAGAAACTCTCCGGTTTGGATATAAAATTTGGCCCACGAAACCAAGGGTTATCCACGTTAATGTTCTTTCGATTTTCCTCCATTCTTGTACATTCGCCGTAGAAAAAATATCCGCCACTTGAAATCCCACGAACTGCTGATACTTCCGATTGTCTGACCGCAACAACGTCAAAACTATCTCGG